TTCCTTGCACCTTGTTCTTGTACGCTCTTGCTGTTATGTCCACATCAGTCATCATTGCAGCAGTGTTGGCGACCATCACTGTGTACATTAGGGCTCCAGACACAATGCTAGTCATGACAATCCAAAGCTCAACCTCATCTAAAAAAAAAAAAAAAAATCAGGTATTAAAAGAAGTATCATTTGTGCATTGTGATTGTTGTGGTATAAAATTAACATTTGGCTAAATCAGCTGATCAAAAGTATACTCCTTGCTTGTGGGTGTTTCAGAGGAACCGTATGATATTGCAGTCATATGAGAGAGGGCCCGAAAGACTCCAAAAGAGTACTTCTCTCCCACTGTGGCATTCTGACAAATTACATAAGACAAAGCATTGACATTAATACTATATTTTATACATTAAAACCATAAAACAACAAATATTACACACTTTCTGTAATACAGTCTCAGAAAAAAGGCACAAAAGTTGTCAATAGGGCACTACATTTTGAAAAGGTACACTTTGTATTTTATTGACCCCTAAGGGTGCATATTGCTACCTTAAAGGTACATACAGGTGCATCTCAATAAATTAGAATGTCGTGGAAAAGTTCATTTATTTCAGTAATTCAACTCAAACATATATGGTACATAGGAGTACATTTTGGACCTTTTTTCTAAAAGTGTAATTAATTCTAATAGGTTAAACGTAGTATCACAGAGAAGACTCAGTTATTAATAGGACTGAAAATGACCTAAGAGGATTTCAGTATTATTAATGCTGTAATATTGTTACAATGCTCAGCTTCAGAATAATATATAGGTAAGATGTCAGACTACCTTCTAGAGCATATCTAATATATATATATATATATAAACTATTAAAGTTTTCATGGCTGTATAAAATATTATTCATTTCCATTATATTTACAGGCCTTGCAAGTACAGTTTTCAAATTTAATGACATAAATGTGGTAATGCTGTTTATGTGAATATGCTGCTCACACACTTACCATTAGATTCTCTCTTCTAACCCAGCAGTCTGAGGGAAACTCCTCAAGCATAGGCACAAAATATTGAATACAGCCATTCCAGTGGCACAGCAGGAAAATCATCATAAATAACGACAAGATTCTTAGGAACACCCTCATCACCTCCAAGTTGGCATTTGAAACCTATTTGGGCAGAGATTCAATATAAAAATCAAAAGCATTATTCCAAGAATTTTTTTGAATGATGACAAAACTGATAGTCAGTGTTGTCTCATTAAGATAAGGACAGTTTCACGTTCAAGCAATTCATTACTTACTCTCTCCACCTCATTAATAAACCTAACAAGCCTTGACACACGCAACAGGCGGACAAGACTGAGGATTCTCACAAACATCAAGATGCGCATCATTTTGCTGGCTCTGGATGAGGGAGAGTCACCATGGTATTGTAGGTCCTATCATGACAATGGCACAAAACATTTTTTCCATTTGGAGCTTTGTAATTTCAATACAGCCACAAGATTTTGCAGAAAAAGGCACATTACCGCAATAAGTAGTATGTAACCAACTGGGAATGCTGCCACCATATCAGGTATAAACCAGCTTTTTAAATACTGTTGTCGAATGCTTTTCAAATCCAGAATGGCTCCCTGTGTAACATACAGAAAGATTCATTGCAGAAGTTTAAGCAATGTGATATTTGTGATGTCTAGAGCTAATCCTTACCTCACTGTCGTCATTAATGATCCCCATGCGAAAGTTAAGCCCCACGTCAATCAGGAAGAGAGTGTCCGAGAACACATTAAAACCCTCCCAACCTACTCCACTGTTGCCATCTAGAAAGGCAATCTCCATTGGAATGCCAATTAGATTGAGAAATGTTATGGCCACCATACACATGATGTAATGACTCCTGCATAAATAAGGACATGAGTTGGACAAATTTTTAAAAGATGGCATTTCTGCATCACAGTCCTTTTCAAAATGCATTAGTATTTTTCTATTTTATTTCATAACATATTTAAAAAAAAAAAAAAATTAAACTTTTTTCAGTTACTATTGTATTATATTTCTATTTCTATTTTTTATTTTATTTTGTTTATTATTTTAATTAAAAGGTATAAAATAAGGTAAAATGTTTTTTTTATCTACTAAATAAAAACACCAAGACAGATTACAGTACCTTAAACGACTGAAGGGATGGATGACCAACACACCTCCCTCTTTCTGTCTAACGCACTCCTTCTCCACAGCCACTTCACTGCCGTAGACGTGCAGCGAGCGTCTGTTCAGCTGCGGCAGCAGTAGGTTTTTCCACTCGCTCAAACGGAAGCGGCTGTGATTCTCAGGTATGAGACGCTGCATTTCCAGGCCCTGACTAAGCACTGTGATCACCGAAGCACCTCTAACATCTCTCACCGTGCCTCTCTGACAACTTTATTTCTGGACTTTCTTTTATGCTGACCATTTAATCCACTTCTCTTCCTCGTCTTCACGCTCGCTCTCTTGCTTTCTCTCTGTCTCTCTGTCTCTCTCTGTCTCTCTCTCTCTCTCTCTCTCTCTCTCTCTCTCTCTCGCGCGCATATGCACAGCCGCAGAGTAATTTTCCATCACAGTGCTCTGCCTCGGTCCAGAATGGAGAAAGAGATAAGTTCCAGACTTTCCATTCTTTCCCCTCTGTCAAACTAACTATTGTCTCATCAACTATTCAGTATCTCTGCCTCGCGCTCACATCAGCTCAGCTCATCTGGACTGCAGGGCGGTTCTTTGACTTTGACACAAGGTGGTTTTGAATATCACAACCATTGTCATCTGAACTAGACAGATGGTTCTGATAGAACCGGACCCAAGGCTGATAATGGGAGGTGATAGAAGTATTTAGGCTCTTATTGTGCGTAAATGACTGTACTGATATGACAAAGAGATTCTTTCTAATGAACACACAAGATGCTCAGATAATTTTGCTATTTCAGAAAGAGACAGAATACAGGTATATATTTTTGCAGGCAAAGCCGATTTTGGAGAAATCAGAGTTTAACCTATGTTTCTTAGGTGCAGCTGGTGAAACTGGTCTGTGTTTTCATTGTGGATGTGTTTACATCAAAAACCGAACCTGCAGCTTAGCACATCACAACGGTGGAGCTCACTAGATCTCCAGTAAACTGAATACAGTATTGTGTTGCATTGGCAGACTATGTTTATGAGAGTCACAATAGAGTGTTGAATTTCAAAGTGGTATTCAAGTAATGTAACATGTAACTGATCTTATGTTCTCAGAAGGCAACAAACACCTAAATTGCATTCATTCATTCATTGTAATCTACATATCACATTGCATTCAGTTATCAAGTGGGTGACTGAATTCATTAAAACATGACTAGTCACTGGTTTTATTAACACGCTTGTCTGTGAAGCTTCTAGTCTAGTTAAAATACTAAAATGATGCTTCCATGCAACATTTTAATCTGTGAAACTTTAAAATAAAAAAACAAGATCATTATATTTATAATAAAAGGGTATACTTAATCATTATTATATTAATAGCCAAACTAATTACCAATATAATTCATAAAATTGTATATTTAACTATATATATATATATATATATATACTATATTCTCATACCTAACATGACGCTTGAACTGTACACAAGAATAATAAATATACTTTTATATTTATTATATTAATAATTTAACTACTATATATATATACTGTATGTGTGTGTGTGTGTGTGTGTGTGTATGTGTGCGCCTAACACGACACATACATTCTGAAATCATTGTGTTTAAAAATGTATATAAGCACTGCAATGGTTTTCTGATTAATACATTCTTGACAAATTATGTGTAATTAATCGGACACAGCACTTTCTGAATTCATGTATGAGGTACAACACAACAAACAAACAAACAAATATATACTAAAACCCCAGTAGAAATGCCTTGGGGAGTCCATGCTGAGTTGGCATTCTGTGTTGGCCTACAAATTGACGTCATGACTGAAATGTTCTATTTTTGCCGCTCATAGCATGCTGAACGTAGCAGAAAAAGCAGGGAAAGGCACTATAAACATTTATCAAAACAATATTTTGCAATACAAGCTGTTGGCCAGTGTTTGAAAAAAGAATGTGTCAGACATGATGTAAGTTGCACACACAGTGACAGGCACACAAGACAGCATTATTTTAGCTACTTTGGGGTTTGGGTTCTGTTTCAGGTAGACTGGTTATCATTTAGATCTAACCATTATTCCCCTCCTTGTTTAAATTAGTTTTTAATTACAAGTAATTTATGTAATTACATAAGTCTGTCCTCAAAAGCTCACTTATGACAACCATTTTTAAATGTATGGTGATAATCATAGGAAATACTCAATGTAATAACCCTGAAAGCACTTTATTTTCTGTAGAGAGATGTAACTCTGTTACACATCAGAAGCAAGGTCAACATGAAAGCTATTTGTGCCCTTGTTGCACTTGTTTTGGAGATCCACTTATGTGCTGTATATGTGTAGAGTATGGGGTCTAGTATATTTTAAGCAGTTCTTGAAAAAAGCATAGATAGTGCAGTTGTCCTGAATAAACATAGAGTAGATGGATCACACACAGAATTCTCACTTCTAAAAAAAAAAACTATTATCATTAATATCAGAAGTAATCTGTGAAGTATAGTTGTATAGTTATGTGAATTTGCCTGCAAATACCTACTCAGAAAAAACATTGTTCATAATACTCATCTGGTATAAATTGCAAACATATGATTATGTTTGACAATATGATGTTATGAGACAATATGATAACCATTAAAAGTGTAATTTAAATTATATTAAAATATGTATTAAAAATAATATACTGAAATGTTAGCTAATGATAAAAAATATTATGATGATATAAATAATATTAATAACCTAAACTTTTAAATGACTTCTATTCTGTACAAGACTTTTATTGTATTTTATTTTTCGGCATGTTGTTATGACCTGATTTTAGATTGAATCGCGTTTCGTATACCTTTAGCCATTAACCTGTGTGAATGTAAATCATATTTGTAATAAATGGCTGTAGCTTAGTTGTTAATTTTGTTGTTTTTGTTTAAAGGCAAGGCATTGACCCGGAAGCTACGCGACACTTCCGCGGGGTTGTGCTGGTTTTTGACAGCTGCAGGTTCAAGGTTGTGGAATGAAGGACGCACGTGAGCACATCAGTCTCTACATCATATAGAGTGAGTAAATTTGATATTTTATTTTATTTGAGATTACCTGACACCATGATCTGAATATCTTTTACATCCGATAAGATACAGCGAGGTATGGACGGCTGGATTTTAGTATATTAACGAAACGATGAAGAGCAGAGAACATGATGTAACTAACGTTAGTGACATGGTGGCTAGTTTGCTGCACTCTGCTGGCTGTGCAAAATGTAGGCTAATGTTGAAACGGAAGTATAGAGCTGATAAATGTCCCATGCTCTTTTGTTTTCTCAGACAGCGTTTGTAAGTGGAAATGTCGAGCCTGTCAGCAGCCAGTGTGGATACTTCACCAGCAATAGAGGGGGCAGAGCAGAAGAAACCTCTCAAACCATGCTGTGCGTGTCCTGAGACCAAAAAAGCACGAGATGCATGGTGAAGAAACTTTTAGCTATTAGTTAACTTCTGCTTTAAATGGGTCATATGATGCTGCTACAAATAACATTATTTTGTGTATTTGGTGTAATGAAATGTGTTTATGCGGTTTAAAGTAAAAAAAAACACATTATTTTCCACATACTGTACATTATTGTTTCTCCTCTATGCCCCGCCTTTTTGAAACGCGTCGATTTTTACAAAGCTCATCGGTCTGAAAAGCGAGGTGTGCTGTGATTGGCCAGCTATCCAGTGCGTTGTGATTGGCTGAATACCTCAAGCATGTGACGGAAATGTTACGCCCCTCACATACTGTTGATGCCGTGTCCCGGCTTGAGCGAAGAGACATAAACATTAAAACCCATTACAAACGAGGCATTTGTTGCATCCAGTGGGGACATAATTACTGATTATAATGACTTATACTGTGTTTTTACGTTTTTAAGTTGCATTGCATCGCGCCGCGTAAACATAAAACTCTGTCTGCATTTGTGATCAGAGAAATGACAAACAACAAGTGCTACTCTACTGCCCAAAACTCACGTTTGAATCATCAGTGGCAAATCCTTTAAATGAAAACGTAATTACAGACTGAGTGAGAACTGCCAGCATTGTAGTCTAACGTTACTCTCCCAGGATCAGTAAACAGTCCTCCATAAAATGTGCAGCACACATCTGAATATTTGGGTTAAACTGTTCTGGAACAGTGTTGTAAATACAACTTGACCACTGATTTGTAGTCGTGTCCTCTTTTGGAAGACCAAACAAAGTAGTTTCGCTTTCACAACGAAAAACACTGCGGCCTAGCGTGAGAGGAAGCCCCGGCTTAGCGTGAGCTGAGGCCAGGCTAGAGTGAGCTGAGGCGGCGGGGTCGAGAACGGCGCGCCCGGCGGATCCAACGAAGGAGCAGCAACCACATGTGACGACCCCGGGCTGGACTCCGCTTCGTCCACGGTGAAAG